GCGTGAAAATTTCACCCCCGTAGCCCTTACCGTTCCCGAGCAATAGCCTGTTTTTGCCGATTCTAATGCTAACCCTATGGCACACATGAGCACGCGCCACGGGCGCACCCCCGGCCGCATCGTGCCCAAAATTTAATACGACCTGTTGAATGACGTGACCCACGAGTCGTGAAAATTTCACCCTCCTGCAGGAGGGTGCATGCATGCATGCATGAATCGACGGCGCCGCAATAAGCGTTTTTGGGAGTAACCGGCGGGGGACTTTTTAAGATTTATAAATACTAGAGGTACAGGTTCACGCGATAACTGTATGTTTTGATATGTATGATTAACGGATTCATTAGTTTGGGTGTAGAAACTTGCATTTTTATTGGTATTATTTGTGTAGAACTGGGTAACTGCTTTTAATTGAACTGTAAAGTATGATGGTGATGCATGCGAGTTGTTCGAGCCCTTTGTAAGTTAGGATGTTACTCAATGCAACCCTACCCTACCCTACCCTACCCCTACACTACCCTACCCTACTCTACACTACCCTACCCTACCCTACCCTACCCTACCCTACCCTACCCTACCCTACTCCTACACTAACCTACCCTACCCCTACCCCTACCCTACCCTACCCCTACACTACCCTACCCTAACCTACCCTACACTACCCTACCCTACCCCTACACTACCCTACCCCTACACTACACTACCCTAACCTACCCTACCCTACCCTACCCCTACACTACCCTACCCTACCCTAACCTACACTACCCTACCCTACCCTACCCTACAATCCCCTACCCTACCCTACCCTACCCTACCCTACCCTACCCTACAATCCCTACCCTACCCTACCCTACCTTAACCTTACACTACCCTACCCTACCCTACCTTAACCTTACACTACCCTACCCTACCCTACCCTACCCCTACACTATATACCCTACCCTACCCTACCCTACTCTGCCCTACCCTACCCTACCCTACCCTACCCTACAATCCCCTACCCTACCCTACCCTACCCTACAATCCCCTACCCTACCCTACCCTACCCTACCCTACCCTACCCTACCCTACCCTACCCTACCCTACCCTACCCAACCCTACACTACACTACCAAGGACAGTCCAAGTTTCAGCTAAATCGGCCCAGAAACGGCTGAGATATTGCAAAAACAAATTAATTGTATTTACTGGCGAATCCCCTTGGCCAGCGGTGCCTTGTGTCGGCCTTCGTTGTCAAAGGTCAATGACCTGCCGGTATTTCCACTCAGTTTCTTAAGCGAACAACTGAGCCTAAAGCACGTGCCCTCTGCTCGGCACCGGTCGCGATTCTAATGCTAACCCCATGGCGCACATGAGCACGCGCCACGGGCGCACCCCCGGCCGCATCGTGCCCAAAATTTAATACGACCTGTTGAATTACGTGACCCACGAGTGGCAAAAATTTCACCCTCCTGCGTCAATCGACGGCGCCGAAATAGCCGTTTTTGGGCGTCACGCCGTCAGCGTAACCCCGACGGCGGACTTTTTAAGATTTATAATAGTAGACTAGAGGTACAGGTTTACGCGATAACTGTATGTTTTGATTTATGTTATGTTACGGGTGCATTAGTTTGGGTGATTGACTTGTGTTTTTAGTTGTATTATTTGGGTAGATTGTGTAGCTGTTTTTAATTGAACTGTAAGGGATGGTGATAGTTGCGGGGTGTTCAAGTGTTTTGTATGTTGGGCCCTTTTTGAACTCAATCCTACCCCTACCCTACCCCTACCCTACCCCTATCCTACCCTACTCCCTACCCTACCCTACCCTACCCTACCCTACTCTACTCTACTCTACCCTACCTTACCCTACCCTACCCTGCCATACCATACCCTACTCTGCTACCCTAACCTACCCTACCCTACTGCATACCCTACCCTACCCTACTACCCTACCATACCCTACCCTACCCTACCTTACCCTACCCTACCCTACCCTACACTACCCTATCCTAGTCCCTACCCTACTACCCTACCCTACCCTACCCTACCCTACCCTACCCTACCCTACCCTTACACTACCCTACCCTACCCTACCCTTACCCTACACTACCCTAACCTACCCTACCCTACCCTACCATACCCTACCCTATCCTACCCAACCATACCCTACCTTACCCTACCCTACCCCTACACTACCCTACCCTATCCTACCCCTACACTACCCTACCCCTACCATACCCTACACTACCCCTACACTACCCTACCCTACCCTACCCTACCCTACCCTACTCCTACACTACCCTACCCTACCCTACCCTACCATATGTATACCCTACCCTACCCTACCCTACCATTCCCTACCATACCCTACCCTACCCTACCCTACCCTACCCTACCCTACCCTACCCTACCCTACCCTACCCTACCCTTACACTACCCTACCCTACCCTTACCCTACCCTACCCTAACCTACCCTACCCTACCCTACCCTACCCTACCCTACCCCTACACTACCCTACCCTACCCTACCCTAGTCCCTACCCTACCCTACCCCACCCTACCCCACCCTACCCTACCCTACCCTACCCTACCCTACCCTACCCCTACACTACCCTACCCTTCCCTACCCTACCCCTACCCCTACCCTACCCTACCCTACCCTACCCTATCATATACTACCACCGACAGTCCAAGTTTCAGCTAAATCGGCCCAGAAACGGCTGAGATATTGCAAAAACAAATTAATTGTATTTACTGGCGAATCCCCTTGGCGAGCGGTGCCCTGTGTCGGCCTTCGTTGTCAAAGGTCAACGACCTGCCGGCTCTGATGCTTTTCACTCAGTTTTTTAAGCGAACAACTGAGCCTAAAGCACGTGCCCTCTGCTCGGCGCCGGTCGCGATTCTAATGCTAACCCTATGGCGCACATGAGCACGCGCCACGGGTGCACCCCTGGCCGCATCGTGCCCAAAATTTAATACGACCTGTTGAATTACGTGACCCACGAGTCGTGAAAATTTCACCCTCGTGCGTCAATCGACGGCGCTGCAATAGGCGTTTTTGGGAGTAACACCGACTGCGTAACCCCGACGGCGGCGTGGGCGGCGGCGGCGGACTTTTTAAGATTTATAATAGTAGACTAGAGGTACAGGTTTACGCGATAACTGTATGTTTTGATATGTATGATTAACGGATGCATTAGTTTGGGTGTAGAAGCATGCATTTTTATTGGTATGATTTTTGTAGAAGTGGGTAACTGCTTTTAATTGAACTGTAAAGTATGATGGTGATGCATGCGAGTTCTTCCAGCCCTTTGTAAGTTAAGATGTTACTGAACGCAACCCTACCCTACCCTACCCTACCCTACCCTACCCTACCCTACCCCTACACTACACTACCCTACCCTACCATACCCTACCATACCATACCCTACCCTACCCTACCATACCCTACCCTACCCTACCCCTACACTACACTACCCTACCCTACCCTACCTTACCACTACCCTACCCTACCCTACCTACCCTACCCTACCCTACCCTACCCTACCCTACTCCTACCCTACCCTACCCTACCCCACCCTACCTTACCCTACCCTACCTTACCCTACCCTACCCTACCCTACCCTACCCTACCCTACCATACCCTACCCTACCTTTACACTACCCTACCCTACCTTTACACTACCCTACCCTACCCTACCCTACCCTACCCTTACACTACCCTAGCCTACCCTACCCTACCCTTACACTACCCTACCCTACCCTACCCTACCCTACCTTTACACTACCCTACCCTACCTTTACACTACCCTACCCTACCCTACCCTACCCTTACACTACCCTACCCTACCCTACCCTACCCTTACACTACCCTACCCTACCCTACCCTACCCTACCCTACCCTACCCTACTCCTACCCTACCCTACTCCTACACTAACCTACCCTACCCTACCCTACCATACCCTACCCTACCCTTACACTACCCTACCCTATCCTATCCTATCCTATCCTACCCTACCCTACCCTACCCTACCATATCCTACCCTTACACTATACCCTACCCTACCCTACCTTACCCTACCCTACCCTACCTAACTCTACCCTACCTAACTCTACCCTACCCTACCCTACCCTACCCTACCCTACAATCCCCTACAATCCCCTACCCTACCCTACCCTACCCTACAATCCCCTACCCAACCCTACCCTACCCTACCCAACCCTACCCTACCCTACCCTACCCTACCATACCCTACCCTACACTACACTACCACCGACAGTCCAAGTTTCAGGTAAATCGGCCCAGAAACGGCTGAGATATTGCAAAAACAATTAATTGTTTTTACTGGCGAATCCCCTTGGCGAGCGGTGCCTTGTGTCGGCCTTCGTTGGCTCTGATGCTTTTCACTCAGTTTTCTAAGCGAACAACTGAGCCTAAAGCACGTGCCTTCTGCTCGGCACCGGTCGCGGCCCCACCACGTGCACACCGCTGAACCCACACCGTCGAAAATTTAATACGACAAATGAGTGCACGCGCTCGACTTGGCGTGAAAATTTCACCCTCGTAGCCCTCACCGTTTCCGAGCAATAGCCTGTTTAATAAGTGTTTATGCCGATTCTAATGCTAACCCTATGGCGCACATGAGCACGCGCCACGGGCGCACCCCCGGCCGCATCGTGCCCAAAATTTAATACAACCTGTTTTATTACGTGACCCACGAGTTGTGAAAATTTCATCCTCCTGCGTCAATCGACAGCGCCGCAATAAGCGTTTTTGGGAGTAACCCCGACGGCGGCGGCGTGGGCGGCGGCGGACTTTTTAAGATTTATAATAGTAGATTAGCCGGCATGACCAAGGCTACGGCTGTCCCACCTTCGGATGATGTCACTAGTCTCGATTGACGTGGTTGTTGAGCTATGGTCAAGATTCCTTCAGATTATGGCTGCGGGTTAGCGGTTGAATTGTATTCTCTGGGCTGGCAGTGGAATAGCGGACAGCGAAATAGTGAGAACGACGCGATCGTGACATATGCGGCGCAGAGTGACTCCCACGCGCGTTGCGCGCGCTCGGTGCGTATTGTTTTGGTCTGTGTTGTGCGCTGGGCGCTCTCCTTGACAGGTCAAATTACACAAAGATCCATTAATTTTTATTAATTTTAATTTACATAATACCCCTGCCTTACAATTGATCTAAACATTCCTGAAGATAAAACGGTAAGTTTCGCCATACTGATACTGCCTTGTCACACCTATCACAATCAATTCAAATTTGCGCGACAATTATCATTCTTCTGACTTTCAATATTTCAATTTGATTTAGCTAAAATATCACATTTATTATGTATTCGTGATTCGAGGATAAATTTGCATCTAGACAAATCTTTCCATGGCTGTTTTCACCCAGAATAAATTAAGCTATCAGGACGACGGTGAAAACAGGGCGCCTGGGGCGATTTGATCAAGGTTCGTGAAATTTACACGTGACGTTTGGCATATAGAAGGCCCTTAGAGCGGGAGAAGTCCCAAATGTCACGTGACTAATATGCCCTCCGGCGCCCTGTTTTCACCGGCATCCAGCTATCATTGGTCGGATCCCTCTTTTGCGCCATGGGCCCAAAATTGAATAAAAACCACACCATACTGTCACAAACCATGTATCAACCTAGAAAATTGTTCGTACAATCATTTAATGCTTTAAAAAGATCAGGTACAATATATGCAGGAATATAAAACCTATTCTAACCTGACCTAACCCTACCTACTAACCTCAATTTTAGGCATTTATCGATCTTGTGAGTGCTCAAGCTGGGGCAATTGGCAAATATTTACTTTAGGTCTGCAAAACTTTTTTAACAAGAAAATGCACATTCCTACTTTCTTTGATGTCCTGAATTCAGATATGTTGTTAAAGTGCATCAAAAATGTAAAAAAGATAGGTACCAAAAATTCAGCACATCACACCCCACACTGCAAACATACACCCCGAAAGAAAACCGTGCCTGCAACGAAAAGGAAGCATAAAACGGGGTGCCCTTTTGAAGAAAAAATTATGTTGATATTCATTTGATTTTCGATGTTATGCAAATGACGTTATAATGCCAAAATAAAAGAATGTGACATAAAAAAGAAAAACTATCTCTGGCTATCTCAACTCAAAACTAACGTTAAGGTGAGATGGTCACTTTAATGTGAAAATAGTACATACCTATTATAGGCTACAGTTACCTATGCTTGGATATATTTAATAAACATGCATTTTTCTTATTTTTAGATAATGGACAGCTCAAATAATCTGAGCGATGTCTTCCTGCAGTATAGTGCATACATGGAAGATGAACAAAGCCTAAGAGAGGTAAGCATTTTGACAATTTTTTTCATGATACCTTCTTCAACTAGGGCCTTACTGCTACATGCTCTCAGCTGGAAAAATAACAATGTCTTGCTAATACTATTGCTCAGTTTGAGTTGAGAGAACATTTTAACAAGGACTGTTGTTTAAAATCTCAGTTGAGCTGCTGGGTGCTAGAAGTGAAATTAATAGCATTGACTGCATCTGATACCGTATAGGTATACATATCTAATTAAATATGTTGTTGTTGAGCTGGGACGGATTCATTTGGTAAAAGATTGTTCAAACACCATACTTGTGCTGGCACTGCTGGCAGAAAATGTGCTTTTTAATCAACTCTTCAATTGGTTTCCTGTTTGAAGTTTGATCATTCGGCTGCTGCAGTTAGACCGACTGCATCACCTGTTGTGCCTGTGTTTGTCAGGAGATCCGCTCTCAGGTCCGTGAGCTGGAGCAGACGGCCCGGGAGATGACCACACTGCTGCAGTCGGTTCACCAGCAGGACGGCATTCAGAACAGTGAGTCGCCGGCTGCTGGCTACTGAGAGACGGCACTGTTTAACAGACCCTACTGTCCTCTATTTATTATGAATCCTGGACATTGGAAATTCCCAATTGACGCTTCTCAAACTGCCCAATGAATATCGTTCACAAGGATTCATCATTTCACTCCCATATAATATTCTTAGTCTTGATTTTTTTAGTGTTTGGTGTTTGTTTGTGTTCATATTTTTTAGTTTTTTTTTCTGAATGAGGGACACTCGGGACACCCTACGACCTACTTTGCAATTGTACTTTGGCTAACCAATGGTATGTTTTTGTTACCGATTTCACGATTGTGTTTATGTAGGTAATGCCTGTGTGAGGTTACCAAAATGATTGTTTGGCGTTTTCCAGTTCCTGCCATATGTGAGAAAGCCAAGGGCTTGTACCCGACAATAAAGGAGCATTATGCTGCTCTCTCGAAGAAGGTACCGAAGGACCAGTATTACAGGTGAGCAACTAAATTACAAGTGCATTTGCAAGCAAGTCAATTAGCGCTAGGCTGACCGAATCGTATTGCAAGCTTCCTCGTATTGCTTGGTATCTCTCTTTTTTAAAAATATTTTTGTTGCCCGACCCGGGCTTTTTTCGTTAGTAGCACACATTCATACAGGGTTAGTACACTATATACACGGCAGTGGTACGAAGCGTTTTCGGCACCCGCTACGCTGGACAGCCTTGACCGCACGCTTCCTGTCACGCACCCCAGGTGGCACCGCACTGGTGCGCACGCTGGGGCTATCCCGATTTCTCGGGCCCGGCAGGTCAGCGGGCTGCTCCGGGACATGCAGCGAGGCCGTGCCCTCGGGACATGTCACCGGACCGAAGGATCTGTTTAAAGGCGGATCAGGCCCGTGTACCTGCGGCCGGGGGCGCTGGCTGGCACAGCGGTAATCCCCACGACCGAGCGAACACTCCCCAGTTACTGCCATCTCCTGGGTAGGAGCCGGCCGAGGAAAATGCTGCCAGAGGTCAGCTTTGATCCAAGGACCTCCCACACCTAGCGTGAACGCACTTGCCAACTGCGCCTCAAGGGTGGTCATTGCTTGGTATCTCGTCGGTATGCCTAATATGTTATATTTAGTTGGTTACCTTTGATGGTGTATGGGGATCTCTTATAATCAATTTGCGTTCAGCCAGCATCCATCGTGTTGTGATAAGTGTTGATGCAACTTACCGCAGTCCTTTCCGGTTTATTACATGAAGTACCTATGTACAGCCCACCGCTAAAGTAATGTAGGGTTTTACCAATCTCAACGGTTGGCTTTGACTGGCGATTGTTTAATGCGGAGTGATCGAAAAGAAGATGTCAATAGCTGAAGTTGCAGCTGCAAGGGTGACGATACATATAAGCTACATTCAAAGTTTCATTGTAGTCTGGCTAATCGCTCCTAAGCTTCAGAAGCAGAACATACCCATGACTGAAACCCCACATTACTTCTGCTGTGGACTGTACATCTAACTATGGCTATAACAATAGAAGAAACTGGGTTGAATATTATGTCGTTCAATGTAAGGACGACAAAACGAAATAAACAATTCCTGTTGAGAAATTTGTGCCCATAAACCTTTAAAACACTGCACCAGATTATCTCTAGCGTCTCATTTGACCGAATTGCCCGCCGGTCCCGCCCGGGTGTGCTCGCCTGTGTGACGCTGCGCCGTCCGACAGGTTCCACGACCACTGGCGGTTCGTCACGCAGCGAATGGCGTTTGTGGCGGCGCTGCTCGTCTATCTGGAGACGGAGCAGCTGGCCACGCAGCAGATGGTAGCCGACGCCATTGGAGGTGGGTGCGCTAGTCTCATCTGCGCTAGTGCCACCAGGCCTCCGTTTGATCCGTCCGGTCCGTCTTGGCTGACATCCAGGCATTTGTCGACCAGCCGGGCGGCACCGTCCTGGCCGCTCCCAAGCGACCGGGCGCCACCATCCCAAACCCTTCACAACCGACCGGGCGCCACCCACCATCCCAAACCCTCCACAACCGACCGGGCGCCACCATCCCAAACCCGCACAACCGACCAGGCGGTATCGTCCCGGCTACCTCCCAACCGACAGGCCCACACCATCCGGCCGTTTTTCGCCATCGTACAGTTCCACTTTGTCTCCCATCCTCGCAATCGAGCGTATCGCGACAATGCCGGCCCGACGCTGTCCGGGCCGCCCACCTTATAACAGCCGATCGTCGCCCCCCAGAAAGGACGTGGGTTAATTTGTCCCACCTGAATGTTATACGTCTACAGCTTCGACTGTGGGCTTCTTTAGTCGAAGCTGAAATTAGCTGACTTCACGTTTGGCGCCTATCATATTTTGCAAAGTGTTGACATCTCAAAAGTCAGCTATTTCAGTTCTGAACTTAATGCGCAGTCATACGCGATCGGAGGTTTCTTCCTCCCCATTTCTATAAATGGGCCATATGCCCATATTAAAATCCAGACATTTGGGAGACTAGCATCCATTTATAGATTTCATCACGAGTTGCTTTTCATTCATAATTTCCTTTGAATCGTCTCGTGTACTCTGCAGTTGCTCTCAACAAGGAGGATGGTTTCATTCTGGACCTTGAAGATTACCTGGCCGGACTACTTATGTTGTCTTCAGAACTGGTACGCATGCTAGGCATTAAATGCTGCTTATCGGTTATGTTTGTACTTTATTGAATCAAGTTCGCATTGCGTATTGAAAATGAACAAAGCAACACTAGTCTATTGAAGCCACACACTGCTGTTCTCGCAAATACCTTTCAACCCAAATGGTTGACCAAGTTATCGAGAGCCCTTTGGTATTGTGGGTTTCGCTATAATGGCTACGTTTTTTTTTTTTGCGGTTTCGGCTCCGTATTTCTTCATACAATTCTTTATTCTCATATCTGCTGCTGTCTCCGTATGGCTGCCGTCACGATAGATAACCGTTCGTTATGTGTTTCAGTCGCGGTTCGTGGTGAACAGCGTCACGGCGGGCGACTACCTGCGCCCGTTCCGGGTGGCGCAGTTCCTCAGCGAGCTCAGCGCCGGCTTCAGACTGCTCAACCTGAAAAACGACAACCTGCGCAAGCGCTTCGACGGCCTCAAGTACGACCTGAAGAAGGTGGAGGAGGTGGTGTACGACCTGTCGATCCGCGGGCTGAAGCCAAAGCAGGAGACGTAGCCGCTGGCGGTGCGGACGCGGGCGTCCTCCAGTCAGGGGGGAGCGTCTCCACTAGCGTCGTGGGTGGGAACCAGTCACGGCGGGGTCTGTGATCTTTTGATAATGTTCTGTCATAGGTGCGTTGCGCGGATCGGATGTCGCCTTGCTTTGTTGGGTTCTTGTTTTAGTGGTTTGTGATGATCTGATCTGTCAGTTCAGTGGTGTCTCGGGAAGAGGCACGCGATGTGTCAGTTGAGTTGCATCATTTCAGCGTGGAAATGGCATGACTTTGAATAGAGTAGTTACCCATGGACATTATACAGTAGGGAATTATTGCCATGTGCACATCTTTGCATTAAATACATAAGGGATCTATCTTTGAGTTTAAAGGTAGTGTGCCACCTTTGAAAGATTTCCCATTTTATTTTTCCTAGGATAAGAAGCTTCTGTTTTTACCTAATATCGCAAAAAAATCAAAAATGGGCCTGGAATAGTGCCTTTTTCGCCTAAAAGTTTTTCGGTTTTTAGATATGTATAACAACTGTAGTGGGCTCACCTGCAAACAGGCGTCGGGCAACAATCGCGAATGCGGCGCACTTGTGACAATAAGCAAAGGTCATTATAGTGTTACGACCATAATATCTATGGTTACGACCATACGACGTACGGGAATGAGTTATCAGCTGTCTAATCGTAGACAACACAATGTCGAGCCTTAAACTGTAAGCCCGTATTGTATTGTTTCTTTTATTTGGCTGTCGAACATTATTTATGGTTTGAAATATGATTTTATGTAAAATAATTGATATGAAAAAGCCGTCTTATAAGTTATGACCCCATTTCACCACACGCAAGTGGCAGAAATGACAATGATCAGCTGACGCATTTTTCTTGGCCGAAGTCAGAGCGCGCGGCCCGACGCACCACGCGTATTTGGAAATTCCGACCTCGACGAGCATCAGAAGCCACCTAACAGGCGTGTTCGAAACCGCAGGAGATGATGATGAACGGGTTTATCGAAACTTGATTGGATGAGCATATCGGTAATAGCGATTTCAGTGTGTGCATTTATTGTTCATAGTGGTGTGAAATGTGGTTGGGGTACGACCGACAACCCGTCGGGGCGAATTTCGCACTGGGGTACTCAAAATTTGAAGAATTTAAGACGTTTCCATGAGTTTTGAAGGTATGGATAAGTTCTAAAAATCCGGTTCTCCTTATCTGGGCCATTAACTCCATACGGTCCAAGAAAGCTGGCACACTACCTTTAATTGTTTCTTTTTTTTATGGCTCCAACTCATCAAACGGGATATTCATATGCAAGGGCACTTGAGAAACGTAAACAGCTTAATTTTTCAATACAGAGAAAGAATGCGTTTCCTGTTGGATACCTGAACTGGTTTCAAATCGTTCTGCAGTGATTTAAGGCACCTGACTCGGCAACACTAGTGCCCGAGAAAAATGCGGTTGAGATCCGCGGCGGGCACCGCTAAGTCTGTGCACCTGCAGTCGAGTCCCTGCTCCAGAGGTGCTCTGATTAATGGGGCGCTCTGCTCTGCGGCGCTAAGTCGGATCTGGGTGGCGGCGGTCCCTGCCACCACAGCACCGGGCCGGGCGCGATTAGCGTCTGTTTGATGCCGACCGCTGCCCTTGGAGAGAGCGGCTGCTGTGAATGTCCCCCGACACTGGACCGGTCTATTCAAACGCGGTTCTGGTCAGACACCTGTTGAAACAGTTTATCATCAAGAAGTATTTTGTATTTGGTGTGTACCAACAAATTCATGGCATGTGGCCTTCGCATCATTTTATTTTAGCCTCTGCTTTCTGTAACGCTCAGCGCCAGTGCAGAGGCTATTTTAGCTTTTATAAGCGCAGCATTTTCGAAGTGCAGGACACTACGAAGAGATATGCGCTGGATATACACAATACACATGTGGCCTTGTAATTAAGCTTTGAACATAAAACTCTCCAGGTTATTCAATAGTAATCTCATTGAATGAGTCAACAACGATAAATGGGTAGTTGTCCCGACCAGCGGGTCTGTAACAATGTGCCCCGTCGCCCGCCAGCGGGCGTGCTCCGTTCCCGGGAAGCCCGTCCCGGTGTCCCTCCCATCCCCTGGCTCTCAGCCTAGTGGCAGTCACAGAACACGCAGCGGTGGTCCCTGGCCAGGAACGTGCAGCTGCTCTTGGGGCACTCCTTGACCTGGTCCCGTCGGCACTGGTACCGCTTGCTGGTGGCTGCGGGCGGACAGATAACAGTGGGTCAGTCGGATAGGCTGACATTGACCGTCATACAGCCGGCACGATCGCAGCCTTCTAATGAGCTGCCTTGTTGTTTCATGCTTTTTTCGGTTGCCCAAATATGATAGGTATAGGTAGATCAGACAACACACGTCGTGGTCAGTTACCGAGCAGCGATCAGAAAAAGACCCATTCTCTTGAACTCCAAATGGCGATAGGTATCCCAAACTTGAACGTGCGGGCGAATTCAAATGCTCCGTTATTATCAACTTTTCATCATAAAGAACTGAATTGAAATGCTTTCAGTAGTTTGAGTTTGTTGTGGTCTTATTCCTGTAATAATGATATCAAGTGTTCCCACTCGATTGTCTTTTTATTCCTATAGATGGCATTTACAGCTTGTTTAGCGCTCAGTCAAAGTTTTGAAAATTGATTCTTTTAGAATGCGTTGTTGAACCCATTGAAGCATCCAGTTTTTGATCGGCAGGTGTTACCGTGATTGTCTATAGGTATTGAAATAAACATTGTTCTTTGATGGTTTCAGAAAACGCGGGTCAGGAGCTTTAAATTCTGATTTACGGTTATCACCTGAGGCATCTCCTCGATTCTCTCATCTTGCTCGGGCGCTTTTGCCGCCAAGTTTTTCCAGCATGCTTATCGCTATCATGGTGCAAGTAATTATACTTACGGAAGATGGGCTTGGGCGGCGGGCAGGTGTAGGAGAGACAGTCGGCCTTGCCGTTGATGCAGTTGCACTTGAAGCAGAAGCGCCGGTCGAGCAGATACCAGAAGGTGCCGTGCACGCAGTTCTCGATGTTGCCTTTGGCGCAGACGATGTAGCCCGGGCGGCGCTGCTTCAGGGCCTTGGGCCTCAGGTCGGGCACGTAGCCGGTGGGACAGCCGACCCTCTCGGGCCACTCCTCCTGACCCGGAACCAGCCGGGCTGTCGCAGGTCAAGGAATGGGTCAATGGAGGTCACCGACTGGTATCCAGAGTCATCGCTTTTCGGCATGGCCTACCTATCTCGCCAGCTTTAAAGTCACGGCACCAATTTATCATGACATTTTTCACTGTCTGAAGCCTTTAGATGTCGAGAAGAGTGCCGACTGATTGTTGTTGATTGAGGTTATCAAGCAAGGAATATCACTTCCAGCAATCCATAAATATGAGCGGTCTCCCGATGTCGGCTGGGTCGGTACTCACCGGGCTTTCCGTGCTTGGCGCCGTCCGCGACCAGCACGGAGGCAGCCAGCAGCGCCGCCAGCAGCGCCACGGGGATCAGAGCACGGGGAGACATTGTTGCAGAGTGTGCCCGCACCGGCGCCGCCGCGGCTTATATGCAGAGCCGGTCCGGTGCCGACTCCGGCCGGCCGCCGCTCATGGGCGGGGGAGGACGCTGCAGCGGCGGGCGGGCGGGCAGTGCGGCCTCCCGGGACACACCGGCAGATCTGGGTGCGGCTGCGCTTCTCCGTCGTTCGCTCGACTGACCACCGGCTGCGGTTCGCGGCCGCGACGGGAACCGACGTGACGCCATTGAACATCGTCCGGTCATGTTCGCGTCGTGTCGCGAAGTTTTGTCGCACCGGCAGACGTGTTGTTCCTCACCAGAATACCAGTGGTTTGTATTCGCCCTGTTTTGGACAGTAATGAAGACCTCGTTTTTATTTCACTTGGGCTGGGGGGATCCAGAGCGTCGTAAGCCTCGTCGTAGCTGCGACGTGTCGCAAGTTGTGTAGTAAGTCGTTTTTGAAGGGATCAATCGATGAGTAGCGTTACTTAAGTAGTAAAGTCTATCGCAAATAGCCTGATTTGCGACACAACTTACGAATTTGAAATAGCAGTCGTAAGTTGTGTCGCAAGTTGACCTTGCCTTGAGGAAGAGGTCACAGGTCACAGGTCATTCGGGTCACGGTCACGAAATTTACATGGTAGGTGTAAAATTGTTTAAACTTTAGATCCTGAAAATTTGGTTGCAATCCGTTGACGCTAACGCGAGTTATAGAGCTTGAACTGACGGGTCGTCTATGAGGCCTCAATCCGTGCCAGCGGGAGTGTTGAAAATGGTGCATAATATGTTATATTCACATTTATTGCGTATTCGGGGATATGAAGTAGCCTAACACCATCCCAGCAACTACTGGCGAATCCAGAAAGGCGGTCTTGGACGTTGCAAGGGGCATCCCCCAAAATATTCTCCCAATTCCAAAAACGACGTGTCCCAGCTGACCTCGATGACCTCCAATGAGCTCTGTGATGACCCCAAGTTGACCTTTTTTGACCTGACCTGTCCCAGATGACCTCCGTGACATCCTTTTGAGCTCTCTGATGACTCCAAGCTGACCTATGTGACCTGACGTGTCCCAGATGACCCCATGACCTCCAATAGAGCTATGTGATGACCCCAACATGACCTTTGTGACCTGACGTGTCCCAGATGACCTCCGTGACCTCCAATTGAGCTCTCTGATGACTCTAAGCTGACCTCTGTGACCTGACGTGTCCCAGATGACCTCCATTTGAGCTCATGTGATGACCCCAACTTGACCTCTGTGACCTGGCGTGTCCCATATGACCTCTGTAACCTCTAAGTGACCTCTATGATGACCCCAAGCTAACCTCTGTGACCTGACGTGTCCCAGATGACCCTCATGACCTCCAATAGAGCTCTGTGATGACCCCAAGTTGACCTCTGTTACCTGACGTGTCCCAGATGACCTCCGTGACCTCCAATTGAGCTCTCTAATGACTCTAAGCTGACCTCTGTGACCTGACGTGTCCCAGATGACCTCCAATTGAGCTCTCTGATGACCTTTAGTTGACCTCTGTGACCTGACGTGTCCCATATGACCTCTGTGACCTCTAAGTGACCTCTCTGATGGCACCCAGCTGACCTCTGTGACCTGACGTGTCCCAGATGGCCCCAATGACCTTCAATTGAGCTCTGTGATGACCCCAAGTTGACCTCTGTGACTTGATGTGTCCCAGATGACCTCCGTGACCTCCAATTGAGCTCTGTGATGACCCTAGGTTGACCTCTGTGACCTGACGTGCCCCCAAGTTGCCCTCTGTGACCTGACGTGTCTCACTTCTCAGATTACCTCCGTGGTCTCCAATTGAGCTCTGTGATGACCCCAAGTTGACATCTGTGACCTGACGTGTCCCAGATGACCTCTGTAACCTCCAATTGTGACCTCCATCTACAAATTTCTTACCTCTCTGTGACCTCAAACTCTCGGAACTCATTTCTTCTAAAGCATCGATTCTAGATGCCCTATAGCCACGAATCTCCTGTGATCGATCCCAAATTTTATGGCAAATCACGTGAGCGTTAGCAACCACAAGTCACCCAGTTAATACAAAGCTTCAGAATCAGAGAACATGCTTGACCTTGCTGTCTCATAAGCTCGCAAACCAGAAAGGCGAATGTTCCTTTATGCGTGATAGAGTTTTCGACCTTACTGACGTTTACTACGGGATCAGCTGATCGTGTAGCCTTTTAAATTCTCGAGTAAAGCGGGTATTTAAACCTCGTCGCAGCTACGTTCTGTCGTATCCTCCGACAAACCCCTCTTTCCTCAACATCCCTCCTTTTCCGCTACGACACAACTTGCGACGGCATATGTGTCGTAACTTGCGACGTGTCGTAGATGGACTTGCGACGCCCTGGATCCCCCCGGCCTTGATCTTTTTCAGGGAGTGGCAGATGTTTTGGTACCTACTGGATATCTCGTGGTGGTAACATAACAATGATCAGGTTATTCGGACGTTGTGCCGCGAAAGTTAGTCCTAAGATTACCTCGGGCCAGGTATAAGGCACCAAATGAAGCATAAGGTGGTCATTTGGAATGGCTTGCAATTTGCATGTGTTGGCAGTTGTGAACAGGGTATATTGAATTAGGTTGCGAATGCATTCCCATCCATTTGCAACAATTGCACCCATCCATTTGCAGCTTGGTCTGCAGCATGAATGTCAGCGCGTGGCTGACGGAACTGCTGTCTCTGCTCAGCACAGCCCTCAGTTATTGGCACATGCATCAATTTCGCCCCATCTTCCACGACTGATTATCGGTCGGTTACAACAAATCTGTGCTTTCCGGCACGAGCTTACACGTGTACCTACTGCGAAAACACGC